TTAGAGGCTGTGACCATCATGGTGAGGAGCATTGTAGCAGGCAGGCAGACAGGCAGGCATGCTCTGGAGCAGTAGCTGAGAGCTAACATCTTGAGACACAACCACATGGCCTTTTCAAACCTCAGTGCTCACCCCCAGTGACACACCCCTAAAAAGGCCACCTAATCCTACCCAAAACAGTTCCACCAGCTGGGGACCAAGTATTCAAATACATGAACCTAGGGGGGCCAGTCTCTTTCAAACTACCACATTCACCTCCTTGGCCCTCAGGCTCATGGCTATATGTATCATCCTGCAAAAAGCAGTTCAACTTTAGAAGTCCCTGTAGTCTTTCACAGTCTCATCTCAGTTTAAAAGTCCAAAGTCCAACTCTCTTCTGAGACTCGGGCAGTCTTAATTGAAACCCCTTATAAAATAAAAAGGCAAGTTGCGTACTTCCAACAACATATAGTGGCACAGGATATGTATTAACCATTCCAAAAGGATGGAACGGGAGCATAGTGAGGAAGTACTGAACCAAAGCAAGACTAATACCCAACCGCACAAACTCCAAATCCCAAAGCTTCATGTTTGATATCAAAGGGCTTAGATGGCTCCACCCTTCCAGCTTTGCTGCCTGTAACATACTCCTCTCTCCTTGGCTGGTTCCACTCCCTGTGTGCAGCTATGCCAGGCAGATGTCCCATAGCTCTATCCTCTCCAACATCTTGCAGTCTCCAGTACAATCCAGGCTTCGCTTTCACAGCTTCAGGAAATAGCCCATCAAGGCCTCCATGCAGGGACTCTCCTGCCACAGGGCTGACCCTAGAGGCTGTCCTTAACCTTGGAGGGAAATTCTACAGCCTATTTCCTTGTGTGTCCTTCATGGCTCTGAAGCCAGAACCACATGGACACTGACAAGTTGGACTGCCTGCTTGGGATGGAGTCTAGCCCCGAAGAATCTCAGTTGTCACAGCTTTCTTTTGGTGTTGCTTTTTAGGAACAAAATGTTCCTTAGGCCTTTCCTTTTTACAGGTTGGACACTTACCTTGGTGGTCTTGCCCTGAGGGCACTTCCCTTTATTCCATCTCGAATCAGGCCTTTATCTCCTTCAGCACAAGCCTTGGTCAGTACTGCTGTTACTGGGGTGATGATGTTTAATAGCAGGTGAAGTGGGTGTGGTGGTTTAAATGAGACATGTTCCCCCAAGTCTCCAGTATTTGGACACTTGGTCCCCAGTATTTGGACACAAGATGTTAGCTCTCAGCTACTGCTCCAGTGCATGCCTGCCTGTCTGCCTGCCTGCTACAATGCTCCTCACCATGGTGGTCACAGTCTCTAACCCTCTGAAACCGTAAGTTTAAATAAACCTTCTAAAGTTGCCTTGGTCATGGTGTCTTACCACAGTAACAGATGATAGTTGGTGGCGATCTAGAGGAAGTATGTCACTGAGGGTGGGCTTTGAGGTTTGATAGCTTTACTCCACTTCCAGTTCATTCTCTGCTTCCTGTGTGTGGACATAGATTTGCTCTTTCAGCGCCCTGTCCCTGCTGTCATGATGGATTCTTATTTCTCTGAGGGTGGGGTGGGGGTAGAGAATGCACAAATTCATAAAAGTAGAGATGAAAGGGATCCAACAGAACCCAGAAAATCATTAGGGAATATTTTGAAAATTTACGTTAAAAAAAAACAACTGGAAAATCTAGAAGAAATGGATGCACCTAGACACATACAAACCTGTTGTTTGAATCTTAGATGGTGTTTTAATGAGAAACCCAGAGCCACATATCAGGGTGAAAGTTGAAAGATCAGAGAAGCAGAACAGCCAGCCACTAGTTCTTAACCTCTACAAAATCCTCAGCCTCAAGAGAGAGAGAGTTCCTGTTTCTTCACGCCTGCTTTATACCTTTCTCTGCCCTGCCATATTACTTCCTGAGATTAAAGGTGTGTGTGTTTCCCTAGCAAAGGCATGAGATCTCAAATGCTAGGATTAAAGGGGTGTGCCAACACTGCCTGGATTCTATGTCTAATCTAGTGGCTGGCTCTGTCCTCTGATCCTCAGGCAAGTTTATTAGGGTACACAGTGTATCATCACACAAACTTACCAAAATTAAGTAAAGAATATATCAACAAGTCAAGCAAATTTGTAACAACCAATGTTACAGAAACAATAATTTAAAAGTCTCCCAACAAAGAAAAGCCCAGGACCACATGGATTCACTGCCAACTCTTTACCAAACCTTTAAAGATGAGCTTGCACCAATGCTCCTCAAATGATTCCATAACAGAAGAAATGGAACACTGCCAAACTCATCTTATGAAGCCAATATTACTCAGATAAGGTCTTTCTGTGTCTCTCTCTGTCTCTGTCTCTCTCTCTCTCAACACAAACACACACACACACACACACACACACACACACACACACACACACACACACACGGAGAGGGAAGGGGATGTGAATTACAGATTGGTTTCCCTGTGAACAGTTTGGGAAGGATATGTGGTCTTGGAGGAGGTGTGTCACTGGGGTGGGCTTTGAGGTTTCCAAAGACTCCTGCAGTTCCCAGTGTTCTTTCTCTCTGCCTTTGGGTTGTGGATTAGGATGTGAACTCTCAGCTGTCTCTTCACTCTACCATCCTGGACTCTAACCCTCTGAAACCATAAGTCGAGTTAAATGCTTTCTGTTTTGTTTGTTTTGGGGATTGTATTTAATTACATCTTCCAATTTCCTTCCTGCAAACCCTCCCATAGACCCCCTCACACTCTACTTCACATTCATGGCCCCTTGTTTTCATCGATTTAAATGTTTTCTTTTATACGTCGTGGTCCTGATCATGGTGTTTTATGACAGCCATAGAAAAGTAGCTGAGACAATGGCAGAACCTGAAGTCCGCTCTAAGTCCAGAGGACCCACAGTGGTGTTGGTTACTTTTCTGTTGCTGTGATAAGACATTATGACCCAAAGAAACTTCTGGAGAAAGTATATTTTTGTTTACAGTTCCAGAGGAATAAGAATCCATCACAGTGGGCTGCATGGCAGCAGGGGCAGGACGCCGAAAGAGCAAATCTATGTCCACACACAGGAAGCAGTGAATGAACTGGAAGTGGAGTAAAGCTATCAAACCTCAAAGCCCACCCCCAGTGACATACTTCCTCTGGATTGCCACCAACTGGGGACCAAGTGTCCAAATACTGGAGAATTTGGGGAACATGCCTCATTTAAACCACCACACCCACTTTCACATGCTATTAAACACCACCCAGAGTAAGACACTGACTTGAGAAGCCAGTGGAAAAGTCCCAAGCACTAGTGAAGAACCTGTGGTTTTGCTAAAGGCTCGTGGTATCAAGCTGCCTTCTAAATATTTGTCTGTACCCATAGATTGGTGCTGCTGCTCTCCGGCTTGCAGTGGATGATGATTAATGCAGCGGGTGATGAATAAGTGACCGCTGAGTGCTCAGCCCTAAATGGTCATCCATATCGCTCCATGCAAGCAAACACTGCAGAAAAAGGACAGGAAGGACTGATGGGAAACGCTGTCTTCCGGCCACAGCCTGGCTGTTGTACTCATGAAATCAGCAGTTCTGGTTATCAGCACACAGTGGGGCCCCTCAGAATTCCATCATGTGGGGATGAGGGGCTCAGAAGGCTCCAACCCTCCCTGAGGAGTTATTATAATTAATGACTGCTTGGAAAGGGGAGTAATTTTTTTCAGTGGTGTAGCGGTTGGTAAATTGTCTGAGTAAATAACATCACTCATGCGAGCAATCCTAATAAAACTAGGTGGATTCTAGCAGGAAGGTAGGAGAGGACTTGGGGTTCAGCTGAGTGAGAAGGGGACTAGAGGAGGAAATGATGAGTGAAAAATGACTGAGACATTACATACACGCTTGATATTGTCAAAAATAAAAAAAAAATAGAAAGGACATCCTGGACCTATTAAAAAAAAAACTGACCTTACATTACTGAACAGAGGTATTTCCTTTTGTACGACTTGCCTCTTTGTCATACTATCTCTTCTTACGAAAGAAGGGGGGGAAAGTCGCCACCCTACCATCCTCAAGAGAAACGAATGCATTGTCAGGCTCACAAATTAGCGCACTGTGTCCTTGTTCAGCCACTAGGCAAGACTCTTTCACAGGCTGCTGCCAGCCTGAGTTCTCCGTGTGTCTGTGTTTTCCTCTTCAGTGAAATCCTGAAGATGAGCTGGATACAGTAGACCGTCTTGTAATTCCAGCACTTGGGAGGCTAAAGCAGAATGATTGCTACAAAGTGTGACTGACACCTCCGATATACACACACACACACACACACACACACACACACACACACACACACCCTGAAGATCTCAGTGCCTCAGTGAGTCTTCCCTTGCTAGGGTGCTGAGCTGAGGATGTTAAAGGAACTAGGTGCTGTCTCTGGCCTCCAGCTGCTTGTGTCTTCACTTGATGGGTAAGAAGACAGCCAACCAGTGGTTCTCAACCTTCCTAATGCTGTGACCCTTGAATACACAGTTCCTTATGCTGTGGTGACCCCCGACCATAAAGTTATTTCATTGCTACTTCATACCTGTAATTTTGTTACTGTTATGAATTGTAAGTATCTGATAGGCAGGATATCTGATATGTAACCCCTATGACAGGATCATTCGACTCCCCCAGATGGGTCGTGACCCCACAGATTGAGAGCCGTTGGCTTACACAGGTCTATGCTGATGGGACAGAGCCAAGCTGGGTCTCCTGCCATTCATATTCTGGAGCACAGATTCATGAATTAAATGTAGAAAATTTGTGTCCTAAGAGAAGGGAGAGCTTGTGAGGAAGAAAAGTTAGTGACGGAGGCATGGTGCTATCAGAAGGCTTTCTTGAAACAGTGTGGTGGAGTTTTGATGAATACTACCCCAGCCCAACCTGCACTCTGACTCATCAGGATCTACTGCAGGTAGTGGTCACTGGCCCCCCCAGGAAAGTGTTATTTAAAGGGAGACCCTAACACTTAATCATTATTTCACACACCATGCTGGGCCAAAGGTTTTATTCTGAATAAGTTTATTCTCAGTCACATAAATCTTACTCTGACATTACAAAGCTGCAAACCCCAGCTCTCCCTTGAAAACACATTCATAACAAATGTTAATTGCACTTAAAAATTAAATAGGCAGTGAAAGAAGGATACATTTTAAAGACACTCGGGAGGACTTTTTCATGTAATCTGCCTTGCGTTTCTACAAAATTCCAAGGCATCCTCCCGGCCAGGGTTTACAGTCCCCACTGGAACTGAAGTGGCGCAGATAACTAAAGGATTTCGATGAACATGAAGCTGGGACATTGAGAGGAAGCCTCGTGGGTGGCTGGTGGGAACCGGAACACAGCATTGCCTGGCTACGAAAGAAAATTCCAGAATCTCTGAGACACAAGCTGTGGCTGCTGCACGGCCTTCAGATGTCCTTCCCACAGTCGGGGCAGAGGATGTCATCCCTCTCTGTGAGGAAGCCTCGCCCCACCAGGGACAGGGAGCACTTCTTACAGTTGAAGCAGTCATTGTGCCATTGACGTTCCTCAAAGGAGATGTACTTGGTGCCACCGAGACCTGTGCGCCAAAGAAAAAACACAGGGCCAACCTCAGCAGAGCCAAAAAAGACAAGTTTGATCCGACTCAACTTGGTGCGGCTCAAATGATGAGTGATGGGGAGCAGGGAACTCACATATAATCATCGACCCTGCACAGCCTCAAGGAACTCGGGGGTCATCAGAAGAACAGGCACAGAAACTGGTCCCCAAAAGGGTGTGGTAACATGCTGTGAATAAGTGCCTGTTTGGGTTAGGTGTAGAACTCAGTGGGTAGAGTACTTGCCCACCAAGTGTCCTCACTTCCAAACCCGGCACTGTGGAGAAGAAAAGTGTCTGCTGTTTCCTGGATTATTATCTGTTTTCTCCTGAAATGAAACCTGTTCCCCACAAGAAAAGGGAGCAGGTTCCTGTGCCTTTGCTGGGTGCTGTAGCAAAGGGAGTGGATGCAGAGAAGCCGAAGAGGAGAGGTGTAATTGTCCTGGAATGGCTAGAAAAGGACCAGCCTGCAGAGGGGTGACCTTGGGACCAGCTCTCGAAGCTGGATCTAGGGTGAAAGAAGGGACTCAATGAGTTGGGGTACAGTACAATGAGGGAAGACGGGGTCACAGGCTGGAGCTGACCCTTGAAAGTGTCAAGGACTGAGCAAAAACCACAGTTTTATCTTTTCACAGAGCTGGAGGCCACCCCAGGCCAGGCATGCAATGGAAGCATTTGAACCCTGAGCTATACAGCCCTGTTTCAGCGTTGGTAAACAAGCAAACTAACTCGTTTCACTTCCGTCCTCCTGCTGACACACGTTTGACTAGTCCCCGTGAGATATTTAAGGTACACAGGGTGCTGAGAGTGCTGTCAACAGCAGGTGGTCTGTATGGCCGCTGGCCACCCTGAAACAAAGGATGGGGTACATAGACTTAGGTCACAGTTGCCGTGTGTTCTGGGGAAACTTAGATGATGAATTTCAGTTATCGAGAGTGCGGTGTGATAAGCCATACTGTAACAAATAGCCACACCCACACCAGTTCTCAGACTCACACAGACTCTTGACTCATGAGTTAGTTCCTATTATAACCCTTCCACACCGGGAAAGTGTCAAGTTTTTCTGCTTTGGCAAGCCATGCCAGGGTTTGGTCTTTCAAAGGCCACTTCTGCTCCTGATGGAGGGATACACCAGCAAAGCTCCCCAGCCCTCTTTCCCTAAATAGCTTGTAGCATTAAAAAATAAATAAATAAAAAGCAAATTCCTGAGGATGTAACTCAGTGGCACAGTACTTACTCAGCAGGTGTGATGCTCTGGGTTTGTTCCACAGAACCACAAGGGAGGAAAAAGCAGTACTGAGTATCTGGTTTCCATATAAATTGCCTTTCGTATTCCTAAAAGCAGAGCCTGGTTCCCGGCCCTGGGCAGAACCCAATCTGGGTTTCGGTCTTGACACTGTAACTTTTCTGCATGTCTGAGTCATGTAGGAAGCTCTGGAAAGTTCCCAGGGCTGCCCAAGGGAAATGATGGTTTCTCTTCTTAGCAGATGGATGGATCTGAGTGAGCTGCAAACCCAAGATGCTTTTTATTTTTATTTTTTGAGGTTTTTATTTTAATTTTATATGTGCGTTTGCCTGAATATATGTCTGGGCACCATGTTTGTGCAAATGGCCAGAAGAGGGTGTTGGTCCCCTGGAACGGAAGTTACAGACAGTTGTGCACCGCTGTGTGGGTACTGGGACTTGAACCTAGGTCCACTGGGAGAGCATCCAGTGCTCTTAATCACAGAGCTGCCCTCCAGCATCCCTCCAAGAAGCTCTGGCATCGCTGCCATTCCATACTTCTCCTCATACACTTGATCAATTTTACAGCAGAGAGTTATGAATATATATTATATAATCAATCCTGATTTTTCATGGTGGTTATACCCCCATAATGCCCTTAACAAGACTGAATTAGCAAATATTGAACTACTGCTTCTAAGAAAGACAGAGTAGGTTTCTAAACTCCTCTGTCAAATTTCAGTAGATCAACTCAAAGATGTTCCTCTCTGTGTGCTTCTCTTTGAATATGAGACATTTTAATATAATATACAATCATTGACATTAAAACTGTGGTCAGTTGCACTAGAATGCTTGGATGAACCTTCCCTAATGTATTTCCTCTGTTAAGGCACATTCTTTTTACACTTAGGGTACTACATGGAAATGCTCTGCCCCCAGTCACAAAAAATGTAAGGGAAAAAAAAAAAAGAACCATGTCATTGTAATTGGGTGTGTCTTCAAAAATACACTTATTTAAGAAAGAACTGCGCCTTTAATCCCAGCACTCGGGAGGCAGAGCCAGGCGGATCTCTGTGAGTTCGAGGCCAGCCTGGGCTACCAAGTGAGTTCCAGGAAAAGGCGCAAAGCTACACAGAGAAACCCTGTCTCGAAAAACCAAAAAAAAAAAAGAAAGAACTGGAACACAGGGGCAGGGCTTCATTTGTCCAGTGTCAACCAGAAACACGGATGTCTTTGAACTCAAATGTACTGCTGCTCTGTGCACATCTGTGGGTCACTGAAAGCACCATGGGTATTGATGTAGGGTTGTAAATCAATGTTAAAGACTAGACATGCTTGCAAATCTGTGTGGATAAATAATGTGATCGATTATGGATGAGAAGTAAGCATCGCTGCAGATAAAAATCTGTAGTGTTTTCCAATTTACTCACAACAGCAGTGTAAATTGTGTTGAAGTGGAAAAGCACTAGAGACCTATCTGAAACCTCATCCAAGCTCAGTGCATAAGTCCGGAAATCTGGCTGAAAGTACATTTTAGTTGCACTTTTGAAGTCCTATATGTTTTTGAAAATTAATCACTGCTTTTCAGAGAATCATGTTCTTCCTAGAGTTTTTTTTAATTCTATGATAACTGCAACAAATATCCATGTCTAATACTAAAGCACTTCTTCACACTTACACTGCTTTTCCCGTAGATTAGAAAGTGTTGCAAATGTTTCCCTCAACAGAAGTTATGAAAACAGCATCAAAGATGGATATGCCCCTGAAAAATGTCCCACTTTCCTCCCTAACTTTTCCTAATTTTGAGGAAATCAAGGTATATGAGTTGTTAGATTCAGATGTCTTGACAAAGGAAAGTGTAATCATTCTGTAAACTCTAATTTTACATGCAAATAAAGCGTGAGCTCTGGGTAGATTCCAGAGTCCTGCCAGCTGGGAAGGTGAGTAGGACCAGGGCGACTTGGCTCTAGGCAAGGTGAATAGGGGTGTGCAAGTGTGTCTGTATAAAGACCCTGCAACGCTACAGGAGAAAGTCCATGACTTGCTGTTCCCTGCCAGATATGTCTGCCGACTGTGTGTCAAGGATGAAGCCATGGTGGGCTGGTTAGCTTTTGGCCAACTCGACACAACCTAGAGTTATCTGGGAAGAGGAAACCTCTTCCTGCAGGCAAGTAGGCTGTGAGGCATTTTCTTGATTAACGATGAATGTGGGAGGGCCCAGCCTAATGTGGGGAATGTCACCCCTGGACAGGTGGCTCTGGGTTATACAAGAAAGCAGGCTGAGCAAGACACAGAGAGCAAGCCAGTAAGCAGCACTCCTCAGGCTCTGCTTGAGTTCCTGCCTCCAGGTTCCTGCCCTGACTTCTCTTTGTGATTAACTGTAAGCTGTAAGATAAAATAAACCCTTTCCTTCACAAGTTGTTTTGATCATGGTGTTTATCAGAGCAATAAAAAGCAAACAAGAACAGATGGAATGAATGAATGGGGTCGGAAAATTCACTTCAAGAAACATTCCTACATTTGACAGGACACTTGCAGTTTTCTCTCTCCACCTGGCCGCTGATTGGTACATGGTGAATGTTTAGTCTAAAGCCATCTAGTTTCCACCTTCAGTATCTTCAACATACTCGATAGCTCAGTCCAGATAACTGGCCGGCCAGCCAAGCACATTTTGGGCTCTCACTTTGTCAAACACTTCGGGCACTGTGCTATGAATAAGCTACTCAGAATGTGCCCTGTGTCCCCATGTGGCTGTGCTCTGTGTCCCCATATGGCTGTGGTCTGTGGTTAGATGAGTCTCACTAAAATGACATGGACACTTCCAAATACCAAGTCTGATGTGGGGGCTGAAACGAATCATGCATTTTGCTCATGTGATTAGAACAGACTCATAGACCCAAGCAGAAGCACTCAATGACAGGCCAATGGTTCTCCACGACCAGACAAGGGGATGTCATCAGTCACCTGCTGAAGCACAAGCAGTGTGCCAAGGATGGGCAGCAAGGGAGGCAGAAAAGTGGAGCTGGACGCAGAGCCCTCAGGATGCTAACAGCACCCATGCTAACACTCTAGGCCGCCATGTTGCTCCAGGAGGCAGACAGCTTATCCCCCGGCAGTGACCTTCCCGGACACTTACCACTGATGGGGTTGGTGCACCCAGCACACTTCTTGGCGTACAAGTCACAGAAGCAGGTCAGGCAGTAGGGAAACTCATCCCGGGCTGTGAAGCGTTGCCCGGACAGCTGCTTCTTGCAGGCTGTGCACACAAAGCACTCCTTGTGCCAGGGCTGCTCCCGGTAAGTGACACCCCCTGTGGTGATGGGCTGGGGGAGACAAGTGCAAGAGTCAGGGCCGCCCCTGTGTCTGGTAGGCATCTGTCGCGGCGATTGCCATTGGATGATGCGAGATCCCCCCACCCTCCTGCACAGGTCCGGTTTGTTGAAGTGGTAAAGGCACCTCAAACCTCAGGCACCTCGTGTTACCCGCCTCCCCCCCATACCACTACTGTCGCTCTCGGCTTTCTCCCTAGTGACGATGCATCCTTGGATGTCACTTGTATAGGGGAACAGAAAAGGCATGGGTGCTATGGGGCATCATCACCTTCCCAAACAGGAGGGTGATGCAGTGGTGCAGTCACGGATCAGCGACAACACTGAGGACATCGATGCCTACTTCTGAGCAGCCCTGTAACTGAAGCGAGTCGTGGCTAAAGACCTCACCACCTCAGTCCTAGCCACGAAGCTGCACTGATGAAGAGAGGGACAATCTCTGTGGAAGCAAGCCTTCCTGCAAAGACCAGCAAGTGGAGACCTCTCCAGCTCTAATCGCACGCCCAGACTGTACAGTATCTAGAAGGGCAGGAAGGGAGAGGCTTAAAGACACTTGGAATTGGCACCTGCTGGTGTGGCTGGAAGGGACCAGCATCCTGGGAGCCTTTATCCTCACCCTGTCTTACAGACAGAGAAGGTTTGTGAAGAAGCCACAAAGTGCTAAACAGCTCGCCAGCCCTCAACTGCATCTCGTTATCTTCAAACATTGCTTTTCTTTTTCTTTTTTTCTTTTTTTTTTTTGGTTTTTCGAGACAGGGTTTCTCTGTGTAGCTTTGCGCCTTCCCTGGATCTCGCTCTGTAGACCAGGCTGGCCTCGAACTCACAAAGATCCGCCTGCCTCTGCCTCCCAAGTGCTGGGATTAAAGGTATGTGCCACCACCGCCCAGCTTCAAACATTGCTTTTCCTATGAATTTAAATGATGGGTGAGGAGTGGAGTCAGACTGGGGGAGTCTAAGGTCTCAGCTTGACAGGCAGTAGTGAAGGACGATAGAATGGAAATACTCCAGGCCACACCTTGGTGTTTTTTACTTATTGTGGCAGCATTTGGAAGTTTCTGGGGTTCTTGTAGGAGGCTTGTGCAGCAAGATGCTATTCCTGTCTTCCAGAAGAATCAGCTAAGGCCCGGGCATTGCTCGAGAATGAAGTCATAGCTGGTTAATGAGAAGGCAAGAAGAATCAGGACTCCCTTCTGTCCTGCTCTCTTGTCATTAGGCCGTACATCAGAGGTCCTTTGCCTGTCACTCCCCTATCCCAGGAACAGAATTTATGGAAAATACTCTGACCCTCCATGTTCTGTGGAGACACAGGAAGCATGTATATGTGAGGTGTCATTTACTCTGCCTGGAAGTTCTCCCTCTGTGCCCCGGATCCCATGCCCACAGTCTCCTACACCTTACACTCTCCCACCTCTACCTCTTCTCACCCCTTCTATTCACCCCCTCTCTCACTCTCTTCATACCTTCCACCCCCACACACACTCCCTTCACCTCTCCTCACACCCTCCACCCCTCTTCACACCACATCAGCAGGTTCTGCTTCATTTCAGCTTCAGCATCTTTTTGGAGATTTCTTCCCTAAACACCCCCAGTCTCCACGCCCGCCCCAGCTTAGCTGGTTTCTCTGGTTGCCTACTCTGAACAATCTGTCCTGTCCCACAAGACATGCATCGAGACACCCACTGGCTGCATAATCATCTCCACCCACGTTAAAATCCAGCCTTTGAAGGTGTCCTGTCTGGCTTCAGACCCCTGGTGCTCCAGGGCTGCTCTCATTGCCCAGGGAGGCCGGGGGTGGGGGGGTGGGGGACGGAGGGTGGGGGGTGGGGGTTGTGTCTAGCTTGAGAGTCCTGAGTGTGTTTAGGGAGCACATATGCAAAGGCATGCACCCCACAAGGCTGTGCCACCTGCACTTTTGGAACTGAAAGGATCACACAGACAAGCATATGACAGGAGGGAGTAACTCAGAGGAGGAGCAGGGAACGCCATCATGGTGCGGCAATGTGGAGTTTGTAGGGGTGCCTACAGGTTTGTAGCCTGACCTCGGGGCTGATCTCAAGGTCAATGACCTCCAAACAGAGCTCAGGTTTTTGTTGTGCATAAGTACAAATGAAGAGAACGTCAGGCATTACGTATCGATTCTATGGCCATCAAACATACACCGGTGAACAAGGCATTCAAGATGAGCGGCCCGCCTCGCTCACAGAGTTCACGATGGATGAACCCACATGCGAGCTTCCTCTACCACATCGAGATGAGCCTCGCTGAAAAGGACCAAACTGTTTCCAAACTAGAGGAGGTAGCTGCACAGCAGAAAAATATCCCAGAGAAACAAGAACTTAAAGTGCAGGAATAATCAGCAAAGAACAGCCATAAATGTGGTGGGGGCCGGTGAAGCATGGATATGAGGGGAGGGGAAGGCATAGACGAGCAGGGAAGTGAGGGAGGAGAGGGCACTGACGAGCAGGGAAGTGAGGGAGGGGAAAGGCCTAACTTAGCAGGCTGGCACAAGTTCTAAGGCAATGGGGCCCTGGAGATGCCACCATTCATGGAGCTGTGTGTGGGAGAAAGTGGCAACCCCCTTCTATGGCGCTTGTTGATTCCAGATCAGCTTCACAGAGACAGGTTAAGAGAGGGAGTTTCACTTCCCTCTACCACCATCAGGCCATGAACACTTGGAAATGTTCTGGACGCCATGAATTTTTCTCAGAGCTCATCTCTTTGAAACAGAGACCAGGTCACAGACCCAGTAGATCAAGGCGCAGACGCCCCTGAGAACACACGTGCAAGTCAGAAATGGCTGCGCTCTCACAGCCTGGAGCTAGGACAGGTGTTGCTTCGTGACAGCTGGGCCAAGGATGGGAACCGAGAGGTTCAGGAGGCCCCGGGGAGCTGGGTACCTTCTTGCACTGCACACACTGCAGGGCGTACTGCTTCTCATAGCAGGGCACACAGAAGTTCTGGTTCTCCTTGGGTATGAAACTCTTGGTTCCAATGGGCTGCTGGCAGCGCTGACAGGTGAAGCAGGTCTCATGCCAGCTGCTGCCCTTGTATTCCATCTTTCGGGTACCTGTGGGGAGAGGGCGAGAGAAATCAGCAGCTGTCCTTAGCCTGGCTTAGAGTCCCAGTGTCGTGCCTCCGCGGCCTGTTACCACTGAGTCTCGTGATATGGTAAACCTCTTCTGCTCTCAAAGACTCACCTTACCTGGAGGTAATTTCTATTTTGCCTTTTGATCCAATGCTTTACATGTGATCCTAGAAATGTGATTCTAGAAGAATATGGGTACTTAGTAGGCGCTTGAGATTTATGTTATCTACGGTAGTTGGAAATGTTAAATCAAAATCAAAATCTAAGTTCTTTTCTGCATCACAAAACATAGATGAAATTCAGCACAGCGCATTCTTTTTTTTTTTTTTTTTTTTTTTTTTTTTCCCGAGACAGGGTTTCTCTGTGTAGCTTTGCACCTTTCCTGGATCTTGCTCTGTGGACCAGGCTGGCCTTGAATTCACAGAGATCCACCTGCCTCTGCCTCCCAAGTGCTGGGATTAAAGGCATGTGCCACCACCGCCCAGCCAGCACAGGTCATTCTTACAGGGTGGTGTTGGTGAAGGTTGCCACATAGGGACAATAACAGTCCCCCTCTACACTCATTGGTTCAACCTTCCATGGTTTCAGTTACCTATAGTCAAACTTAGGTCAAACTGAAAATATTTAATGGAAAATTCCAGAAATAAACAATAAAAATAATAATAAAAATAACAATTAAAAATAAATTGTGCACACCCTTCTGGGTAGTATAGTGAGGTATTGCATTCCTCTATCCAGTCCAGTGAAAGATGGGCATTGTCCTGTTGCCCAGTGTGTCCCCATTGCGTGTGCCACCCACCCGCCTCAATTACAAGACCAACTATGATGGTACCACAGTCCTTGGGGCCACATAACTTTACTTTACCTAATATTATTGTGTCCAACTTACACATTCAATTTTATCAGAAAGCAGAGTAGATGTAGGCTGAGCACTCTCATTGGTGGGTCTCAGAATATACTTGTTAAGGATGGAGAGGATACTGCACGTTCTCCTGATATACTTCCGCTAATCAACATCCCTCTGGTTTATAGTGAAGCAGAAGTGATTGGAGGCCAGTGGGATGGCTCAACAGGTGAAAACTCTTGCCAGGGGAGCCTGACAACCAGGGTCTGATCCCTGGAATCCGCCACAGAAGGAGCAAACCACGAGGTGCCCTTTGACCTCCACAAGTGCACTGTGGCATGGGCATGTCCCTCCCCCACCCCTCCTCCCACATCACACATGCACACAAACAGACTCACAAAGTAATAAATAAAATAAATAAATTTCTGGGGAGTTGGCGATCTGGAGCCTCCAGCCCAGTGCAGTGAGGCATTCCTGCAACACCCGCTGCACGCAATTGGCCAGGAGAAAGCCACGTTGTGATGGACAACACACAATGCGGCTTTCTGGTTTTCCACACTGTGCCATGAACTAGAACTAAAACTACTCTTGGGTCCCTACTGTCATTAGATAGTTCTATCGCTCTTCCAATCAGTCAATACGTCCTAGAAAACAGAAACACGTTTTCAGTAACTCCACCATCAGCAGCCCTGACTAACAGCAAACACTCTGGATTTATGGACTGATTCTTTTTCATAGCCCCAACATGGGTGTATATTTATACAGTGAGCTAAATCTTTATATGAAACAGTAGACTGGGAAAGGATGTGACGAGTGAGGAATGGGATTTCTTGGATGTGATACCTCAGGGACAGCCCACAGCACAGTCTGTGGCCTACACTGCTGTCTGTTTCTTAAATGTTTGGGTTTTTTTTATTTTTTATTTTTGGTCTGTTTTATGGTATTGAAAATTGAGCTAAGGGGGCCTCTTGAGTGCTAGGAAAGACTCTACTGCTGAGTTATACCTGTAGCCCACAAATGGGGTCTCTGTAGGGCCCAGCCAAGCCCATCCATTTACTTTTATAGTCTCTGGTTTGGTTTTGTTTCATTTTCTTTTTTCTTTTTTTTTTTTTTTGGTTTCATTTTCTAACAGTGCAGAATAGTTGAGTTTGTAACAGGGACCATGTTATCTGCAACTGCATAAAAACATGTTTCTGGCTTTAAAGAAAAAAATAATAGCCCTGGCTGGCCTTGAACTCACAATCCTCTTGTCTCAGCCTCTAAAGTAGTGTGGGGATTCTCCCTGCAGTACCACATCTGGCTTTTGTGGCTTTGATGGGGAAATATTTTCAGCTGTGAGGATCATATCAAAGATGCAGAGTATGGGCTGGGTGATGGCATAGCCCTTAGACTTCATTTGGGCCCCAGGAATGAGGGGAGGAAGCTGGTGGGGCCCCTGCAGAAGCAACTGGATAATGCAAGTGCTTGTGAACCAGTCCTTAGCTCTCAGTCAAAACAGCAACATGTGGGCTATGCTTTAGCTGGCTGGAAGGCTGGTCAGGAGACGTCTGTGCTGCAGGTGGTTAGGAATACACTGGAAATTATTACATGGTTATTAGGCAGCATTCTTGGGGCACTTTCTCAGCTTCTAATTCTTCAAAGAGCAGAAATTCGGGTTCTGTCTTACATAGACTATGTAAAATGTGCAGGGCACATGTGTGGGTAACACCCAGTGAATTTGAAAGTGGAGGCACACAGTCTGTCCTGGGGCGATGGGTCCTGAAGTGAAAATGACATTAACACCTGGAATCCGGGTGAGAATGAGTTTTAAAATGTGTTCCCTTGGCACCCAGGGGCTGGCTCCTCTATCACCGTGTACATCTCGGTCCCCTGCTCTTGTCTGAGCTGATGCTGTTAAGCAGGCCACCAGCCAAGTGACTTCTCACTGAATATGGTTAGCTACAGTAGTGATCACATCACAAGCATTTCTAGGTACAGGCATGTCTGTAGTACCAGCCATTCAGAAGGCTCAGGCAAGAGGCTCTCTTGAGCTGGAGTTTGAGGCAAGTCTGGCAGTGCGGAGATATCCTATCTCTTACTAACCAGCAATACCAGCAAATCCCTGGTCTTGACGCTGCTGTGAATGTGGTTTTTCGGTGGGATTACTGGCTGCAGCCAGCAGACTTAGAATGAAGAGGATTACACCCCTTAGTCTCCCTCAAACAGCTGAAAACCTTCTGAGTAGAGACCAAGGTTTCCTCCAGGGTAGGAAGTCTCAAGACCAACTCAGAGATTGCCTGTGTACCTCCAGCCTCCCGTGGAATCTGGATGCTCCAGCGGAAGCTGAAGTGTGGGGATGCCCCTCAGATGTCACACTTTCCACCATCATAGGAGGCAGTTCCTTGGCATACCTGTACCTCTCCCTACTTGCTGACGGCCTGCCTTGAGTCTGTCTCAGACAGGTGAAAATTACCAAAAGCCAAGTTCCTGTCCCCAACAGCCCCCTGAACTGAGATTTTTCAAACAATTTCAATGAATCAAGGGCAGGCAAGTTTCTGAGACTTGTTGGGCGAGGAGGCAATGTCCCCATGAGAGTCTGTGGCTTCAGAACTATCATTTCTGCCCGGGAGAGCTGGGGATCCAGAGCAGGAGCCAGGGTGTATCCTGGACCGACAGGGCGGACGGAGGAACAAAACAAACTGGTCTCCCATGGCTCACTTGCTGTTCACAAGGACATCCACAGCATCAGAGAGGCTTCAGGAAGAGCTGAGCACAGAGGGTCAATGCTGTGGCAGATGTCCCTGCTGTGCACAGAGGGACATGAGTGTGGTATGGTCCCATCAGCTGCGCTGCTTCTGAATTCAAAGCAACTCTGATTGGCATGGTTCACTTAACCGTGCACTGAGAGAGGAGAGTCTTGCAGACCATGTCCGCCTTGTGAGGTGAGCAGACCAAAGCTCACATAGCTCCTGGCCACACCTAGGGCAAGAAGCAGAGACCACGTGGGTTCTTCTTCCAGCACAATGGATCACATGGGGATGCATCATCCGGATGGATTCCAGGACTGCTCTTCTATCCCCTGCTGGAGAGGCTATGTGTGCTCACTACTACAGCACAAGGCCTCCGTGACTCCTCCGTCTCTGCCTTCACCGTGCTGTCCCGGAACCCAAGTGAAGGAAATGAGCCAGCCTGCCTATGTGGACTTCCTTGTTCACTGTCCTGCACCCACGCTGGTGTAGTTCACCAAGAAGCGGCCCCAGCTGCTCTCTGACAAGACTAGTCTTCCTTCTGTCCCTTTACCTCCCCAGGGCCCACCTGCCTGCTCCCAGGCACGAAAGATCCTTCGAGGCATGAGGGACAGGGCAAAGTGGAGGGATCAGGAATTAGCAGGAGTCACGCAGAAGTGGGCGGAGCACTGCAGGGAGGGTAACCAACAAAGCCAAAGGGGAGAAGGGAGGCAGCAGTACGCAGAGCCTGTGGCTGAGCTGCAGCTGTGTGGTTGGGCTGCAGCTGTGTAGCTGAGCTGTAGCTGTGTGGCTGGACTGCAGCTGTGTGGCTGGGCTGTAGCAGTGTGTCTGGGCTGCAGCTGTGTGGCTGAGCTGTAGTAGTGTGGCTGAGCTGTAGTAGTGTGGCTGGGCTGTAGCAGTTTGGCTGGGTTGCAGCAGTGTGGCTGAACTGCAGCTGTGTGGCTGGGCTGCAGCTGTGTGGCTGGGCTGCAGCTGTGTGTCTGGGCTGCAGCTGTATGGCTGGGCTGCAGCTGTGTGGCTGGGCTGTAGCAGTGTGTCTGGGCTGTAGCAGTGTGGCTGGGCTGCAGCTGTGTGGCTGGGTGGTAGCAGCGTGGCTGGGCTGTAGCAATGTGGCTGGACTGCAGCTATGTGGCTGAGCTGTAGTAGTGTGGCTGGGTTGCATATGTGTGGCTGGGCTGCAGCTGTGTGGCTGGGTGGTAGCAGCGTGGCTGGGCTGTAGCAATGTGGCTGGGCTGCAGCAGCATGGCTGGACTGCACCTGTGTGGCTGGGCTGCAGGCATGGGGAGGGTCTAGAGAGACCCTGCCCACCAGAGGAGCTGCAAACTGACTTTCTTGGACTCTTGCTCAGAAGACCACAGAAGATTTAATTTGTTTTTCTTTTTTAAGATAGAGTCTTGTGCTGGATGTTGTCACCTTGATCTGAGGTAGAATCCCTGGGGAAGGGGCGCCTCAGTTACTAAAATGCCCCCATCAGATTGGCCTGTAGGTTGATGATTGACGTGTGGGGGAGCAGCCTTTGGTGAGCAATGCTCCATTGCCCACTGTCACACCCCAAGTGGGCTCTAAGTTTCTAGTGAATGCGGCCTAGAACTCAACCATCACTGGTTGCCATGCAGCTAGCTCTGTCTTCCCCACTCCTCCCCAGCTGTGCTCTCGGGGCGGGGTGCTTCTGTTCCTGTCACAGTATGTCATAGTCATTTAAAAGTCGTATGAACCAGAGAAGTGTTGTAGCAATAAGAATCTACCTTACCAAAGGTCTAATTATCTGCTTTGGAAAAGTATTACTTCTCGCCCCATATATCTTCCCCAAATACTTCCCATATGTCAGTCTGTCACCCAGAACTCTGCAAGTACCTCTTCTTTGCCAAAAGCAAAGCAAGCCAAAAATAAAACAGGAAGTGGAGCTGCTTAATCGCTCTCCCACAGAAGGGATCAGAGCTTGAGTGTTGTGGATACAGCTCAGCGGCAGAGCGTACTGGCATGCAGGAGGCTGTGAACATCCAGGGCGCCACAAGTCAGAGGCTGGCTCTAAATTGTCTCTAAGCATCATGTTCTTCACACATTGATGAGACCTGGCTACCAAATGGCACAGAATTATTCCGTTGGTCACTTTGGATTTTAAAGTTGAAACTACAAACTCAAAACTATTGACTCAAATTGAACCCTCCCATATCCCCTCCTGTGTGTGTGTCTGTGTGTGTGTGGTGGGGGGGGGCGTGCTCACAGGATGGATGGGGAACGTGGCACATATGTGTAGAGGTCAGAGGTCAACCTCAGGTGTTGTCCCTCAGAAGTCAGTTTTTCTCGTGGGGACTTTAGGCTCGCTGATTAGCCAAGGCTGGCTGGGCTCTTCCAGATTGTGTAGCATGTTTCAGCATGTGAAGACACATTCACTGAGGAGAGCTCTTGTAGTCAGCACTGAACAGCCAGATCATCTACGCTCCCGTCACAGCAGTGTAGGCAAGGTTGGAAAGACCCAGGGAGAAACCCTGGAGAAGATGGTGTGGGAATTAACTGCTTCTGAGACTCGTGGTACTTTTCTCCTTGGTAAAAAATGGTTATCGAATCTGAGGTAGGGCGGTCAGGACAGAAATAAAGGGCGACAACATCTTTCCAACAAAATGCGAGTCCCCGTGAAGAGCTCACCATGGCCCTGCCACGTGGGGGAGCACTACCCATCTGTGGAAGTGGGTTACTGGGGCTGAGAATTGGAGCCTGGAGACACACTGGATCCCAGTGGCCAATCAGAGCTCTTCCTTCCTGTGAGCGACTGCTGTAAGGGTGGTCCCTGAACGGTCCCAGGAAAATGAACTACCGAACAGTAGCAGCAAAAATAAGTTAAAATTATAGGTGTTATGAATAATGAAATATTTTAAGTGCTAAAATAGCTAACACATGAAGAAATTTTAACTTAAAAATCTTAAGTGCGAATGCTTTCTCAATATGTACTTTAAGACTCAGAATTCCAAGATTAATTCACTTTTTAAAACCTCATACACATTTTGGCAGTTACTTAATATTACCGTGGTCTCAGGGATGTGCAACCAGATGACACGCAATACGATATTGTGATCTACAAATGTGTTGGCTGGCATTCATGGCTATCCTGGGACACAAAGTCTGTGGGCCACAGAGTGGATACAGCTGGTGATTCTAAAGTGTCTTAATGTGTCTGCTTCCCTTTGATCCTAAACCTCCCTATAATTAAAGGATTCCAAAAAAGATGTCTTGTCACTCTAAATTATTTAGTTATCTTACATAGAATCTGGCAGTCTGGCCCAGGCTGCCTCAGCTTCCCGACTGGCCAGGTTTAGGACTGTATGAACAGACTGCCTTGTGAACCATTTGCATTCGCTGTCTATACCCAGTTTGTCCACTAGAGGACGCCTGATGGCCTTGCTTGGACCACGGTCTGCACAGGCTCTGTCTACCTTCCCCACAAAAAGAGTTCAGAGCCCACATACCCCAAGTAACATTTCCCTGAATTCCATCTGCTCACAGATGTCTCTGTCCTCAGTCATCTTGCTATCCCCGCTGAATCCAAGTGGTCTGCTTACAGGTGCATCTGCCTACCTCACCTTCAGAGAGGGCATACACTTCCTAAAGACACTCCCATGGATGGAAACTCTCTGCCGGCTTTGTGTAGCTAGTCAGTAGCCATGTATGACACATGCTGAAAGCTACCTGGCTCTTAGACGTAAGTGAAGACCTGTATTTTTATTGGCTGACCCAGGCAACTTGAATCTGGACAGCCTTTAATAGGTCATGCGAAGGCTCTTCCTCACGGTGACCCCTGAATCTACCACCTATGCCTGTACCACCTTTTCTAAGTCAAGTGACATCAGAATCCTAGGCCAGGTTCTCTGAGCTACTCTAATGCCCATTTTCACATCATGTGCATGATAAGATTTGGATTTGCTCCGTAAATCCCATAGTTGCATATGCATATCTGTGTATATTTTTGCAGTGAGGATAATCAAACCCACATGTTCACCAGCACTCTACCACCAAGTTACACCAGTCCTCCATATATTTTCATCAGCTTACGTTGGCAGGTCTCAAACTCACAGAGATCTGCCTGCCTCTCCCTCCGGTATGCTGGGATTAAAGGCACGGACCATTATACCTGGCTTGTTCACTCAATTTTTAAAGTAAAGATTCCTTTTTCCTACACAAAACCAAAAGTTGAGAGAGGGGGGCGGGGAGACACCATATCGTCCAGGTGAAAAAAAACAGACACTACCTTATCATTATGTCTAGTTCTTAATCCAATTGTGCTTCTGTCCTTTTTTGATGTCTGTCTATCTAGGACCGAACTCCATGAGGCCAGGCAGAGGAATCAGCTCTCAGGCCCCAGCTAAGCAACATGTAGCTCTTGACCAGTCCTGACACACCAGCACACAAGTCATAGTTGCTGAAATAGCTGAGCACAAATTCAGCAAGCAGGGCAGAATGAGAAAACACAGGTACTGGGAAAAGTGAGGCAGAGGAGGGGATGTATTTCCAGGGAATGCCTGGCGTTCTTTTACTGGCCCGTTCTCTCTAGCCATGGACAGCTAACTGCAGATCAAGAATTCCCAAAGACAGCCGGGCAGTGGTGTCGCACCCTTTAATCCCAGCACTGAGGAGGCAGAGGCAGGCGGATCTCTGTGAGTTCGACGCCAGCCTGGTCTACAGAGTGAGATCCAGGACAGGCACCAAAACTACACCGAGAAACCCTGTCTCCAAAAACCAAAACAAACAACAACAAAAAAAACTCCCCAAAGAAAACAAATGTTTCCTTAGAGAACTTATACAGACTTCTCCTGTTATTATTTTCCATACGGCACAGTAAAATGGTGTTCGTATAGCACTTGAAAATTATTTAAAATACATGGGAAGATGTTCTATTACCAGCATTAGGCAATTTGCATAGGGGAGCTTGAGAATCTGTGGGTTTGGGTAGCTGGACCTAATCCCAGAAAACACCAAGGGGGTGACTGAACTTAAGTTCCACTTAGAGATCCCACTCCTCTGAATGATACACCTCATCCCTCCCCCAACCCCTCCATCTTTTTTCTCCCATCTTTTGAGACAAGGTGTCTCTGTGTAGCCCTGGCCGTCCTGTAGCTCGCTCTGCAGACCAGGCTGGCCTCCAACTCAGAGATCCACCAGCTGGGATGAGAGGTTACCACCCCCCCCACACACATCTTAGGTCACTACATACATCTTGTAGTTCAGGGGCCAGCACTGAAGTAGCCCCACCAGTGTCTACGGCCGAGGGGGAGTCCCAGCCCCCAGCCTATCCCTGGACTGGCTCAGCGCCTCTTGAGCTGTGTGCGCATGCGGGAGGCGCGTGTTCTGACCTGGCATGATGGTCTTCTTGCATTCCTGGCACTTGGACGAGTACTCGTTGGAATAGCAGTCGGTGCACAGCAGCTGCTCCTCCTTGGCGGCGAAGGGCTTGTCCACCAGCGAGCTCCCGCACTTGGAGCAGTGGAAGCAGCCTTCATGCCAGTGCCGGTCCTTGTAGGACAAGTCCTGGAGAGCCAGACACACCAAGAGTCAGAGAGGCGAGACAGGAGAGGTGGCGCTGCTGCCTAACTCATCTTAGCATGGGGGCCACAGAGAAACTCTCGGGATAAACACGGACCCCGGTCGGCTGGAGCCTGGGAGCCTTGGTGCGCTACATTGCCGGAGTACACATGTACGTGTGTGTGTGTGTGTGTGCGCGCGCGCGCGCGTGTGTAAAGATGGACAGGGAGGAAGGAGGGTGGCTTTTGAAAAAAACATGTACTTCCTGTAAAAAGTATATTCAGAAGATGGGCCACTGTGGTCACACGCACGGCAGAGAGACCCGGGGTGTTGGGGCATTCAGACTCCAGGGCAGGATCCTGGGCCCCCAGTTGGGAAGGGAATCAGGGAAGAGAAAGAGCATCCGTGTGGATAGCTATGGGACAGGAGAGACAAGAGACAGGGTGTCTGTCAGAGCTTCATGTCACTGCGGGCCAGGCCAGGCCCAGGGTGAGAAAGTTCACGTCCGGGTGGATCAGGATATGTTCCTGCCAGCATGGAGTTCTGTGCAACCTGAAGGCTATATAGGCAGTGAGAGTCAGGTTGTGGTGATGGAAGGAGAAGGGCACAGGGAGGGGAAGACGGGGGGTGGGCACGGAGGTGGGTGGGTGTGCTCTGGACTGCCTCTGAGAGGCAGAGATGAGGGTTTGCACTGGGCTGCCTGTGTTGCAGATGTCAACAATACGCCTGCGCGGGAGGCCTTGGAAAGATAGAGGCAGAGGCCTTAGTAAATGGTAACGAGGACCAAAGAGTCCAGGGGAGGAATCCTGTCGGCTCTGTGCTGCCCCTGACCTTGCTTGAAGAATGTGTGTGTGGGGGGGAACCGTGTCTACGTCTCCCCTAGCATCCTGACCTTGCATGAAGAATGAGAAAAAACAAAACAAAACAAAAAACACGTGTCTACGTCTCCCCTAGTATTTTGAAAGCTCCAACATGGAGCGAAGTGACAGTCCTTTCATGCCCAGCTTCACGTTAGAACGTCTCTGTGCCTGCCATTGCAACCCTGACCCACACCACCAAATAGATAGAAACAGAATATGAAGGCACCTCGTTTTCTGGGCTGACTTCCAGCTGAAACTCTCCTGAGCACCCATAACAAGGCTCAAGCAGAGGACTTCAAGAGCAAACATCCCAAGCCCTGTGAGCTACACCCAGGTCAAGCTTAGAGAGATACGGGGCGGGAGGGGGGGAGGTATTAACATATATCTCTTGGACTTGATCAGAAAGTCCTAATCACCCCCAACCTAAACTCAGAAATGAAACCAAACTAGAACCATTCTCTCCCTCCCTCCCTCCCTCTCTCTCTCTCTCTCTCTCTCTCTCTCTCTCTCTCTCTCTCTCTCTCTCTCTCTCTCTCTTTCTCTCTCTCCTCCCTCAGATCCCTGAGTGTCCGAGGGTTGATCTTTTGAGGAAGGGGACCAGGGAGACGTCTCACCAACATGCTGGTCTCCCGTAAGCCTATGAATGATGAGAGCAGGGAGTAAGGAGCAGAGGCCTAACCTGTCTTTTGCAGGTTTAATACTTAAATATTTTTAGAATGTTTTTTGGCAGGGGGAGAGCACATGTACTTAGTTGTTCATTTTAAGCGAAATAAAGTATTAAACTGCTTTCATTTGAACCCACGTGTCTGTGTGTTAACTCACTACAAACTGCTAAGCTAATACAATGCATATGTTATCATTTTATATATATATACATTATATATATGATAACATGATATGATATATATTTTGGGATTGGATATAACATGGGTATTCTCTCCATGCATATACCGCATTTCATTTCTTCAAAATGAAACCCATCGGGGTCCAAATAGCAGAGAATATAAAACAGACGCAAAAAAAAAAAGCCACAGAAATCTGCACTATCAATGACGATAATTGGGACTGTGTCGTACGCTCGCAATCCTACCTAGGTCTAGAACGTAGTTAGCACTGAAGCTCAGAGACATTCCTCAGCTTGCCCCCAGTCACACAACTGACATGTACTCAAATCAGGCCTTGGGCTCAAATCCTAACGCAAAGCTGTGGGGACAGTTCAGTGGAAGGCTGCTTTTTCAGAAGTTCGCTGGCCTTCCTCTGTGATAGGTCGCCCGACCAAGGAGGGCTTTGGGCAGAAAGGCTGCAGACTGCTTTCCACGATAGGTCACCGCTGGACAGAAGTGAGGGAGCGAAGTCAGAAGCCTCTATTTTAAGGTGGGCTATGGTTACGGGGCGGGGCGACCCTGCTAGGGTTCAGGCACTACACACACACACTGTCACTTTTTATTGGTGAGCAGAAAAGCGACAGTTTTGTTAGTTGCTTCTCACAGGGACAAAACACCATGACCAAGGTAACTTATAAAAGAAGTATTTAATTGGGCTGAAAGTTTTAGTGGGTTAGAATCCTTGATGGTGGAGCAAAATCATGGTGACGAGGAGAGCTGAGTTCTCACATCTCAGAACGGCAAGTAGCAGGCAGAGAGTGTGCGGTGCATTGGAGATGACAAAGGCTTCTGAAACCCTAAACTGGCCCTCAGTGACACAGTTCTTCCACCAAGGCCACACCCCCCAATCCTTCCCAAACAGCCTCAGACTCAAAGGGGGCATCTCACTCAAAACACCTAAAAGGATCCAGGAAATTTGTATTTTGGGGTAACCCTCAGAAATGGCAAAAACAGAGGGGGAAAACCATAAGAACTCCATTATGAAAGTGAAGCCACCAGATGTCACCAGTCCCCATCCAGGTTAGCGAGTCCCTAGAAGGACAGAGTCCTCTGCATTGGTGTTATGAGATATTTGCAGAAAAGCTAGCTGAGTGCTCTAAAACTCATTTTTCTTTCCACAGTGAACATTTCTGCCAGGAAAACACAGCAGTTAAAGACCGTCTTGCTGATAGTCACGTGACACTCGTAAGTATTACCTTAAACATGAGCACTGACTGTCATGTCCTTTAGATGGAAGCATCAGCGTAGGGCTTCAGACTTGCCCAAGGCTAAAGCCTCTACTGACTTGACTTACTCCTGATGGGACACCCCAATTCTCAGCCACAAACCAGAAGGAAAGTGCCTGCTTCTGGCTGCAACAGTTCACCTTTTGCCTCCACCGAATGGTGCTCTTCCTTTCAGGCTGCTGAAGAGTGGAGACAAACAAACAAACAAACATCCCATCCCACTCAGAGAGCCAAGTCAGGCATACAGAGATCACAGGAGGCCTATCAAGAGTTGGACAGAGCACTCCCAGCTGCCTTCCCAGGTCCAGGGCTCTTGGTGCACATTTCCTGAGGCTTTCCTAACTCACCGACCTCTCTTGCGCATGCCCTCGAGTGCATATGCACGAACACACACACTCACCATAAACAGCATGGTGCATATTAATCATTCTTAGCCCTTTCTGACAGAAAAGTTTTCTCTGAAGGTAAATATCAACCTCTGACTATCTTCCTAAATTCAGTAATGGACCAGAAAGAAAAACGCCACTAAATAGGGTTGCACAACCGTTGCTGGCAGGTCCTGGATGGGTGGGTAGGAGGATTAGAACTGGTCCTTCCCCTCTTCCCGCTGGAGATGGTGATGACCTTTCTGTCTCAGCATCAGAGCATGTGATATGTGCGGGCAGTAGGAGAGCCTGGTGTCACACACTTTACCTGGTGAGTATTATTATGAGCCGGGTACTCCCAGAAGCAGGAGACTCAACAACTAAGGAGCCCAAGGGCCAGACCCTCAATCCTCCACACACCAGGGGCATGGCTGAGGGCAAGCCCTGAGCCTCTCAACCTCAGACTCCTCCCTGGAAAGCCAGGAGGACGGTGCCTGCTGTTGGCTGTGACAGGAGAATGCCTTAATACATGTAAAGTGCTTGTGGCCGTTTCTGCTGCGAAGGGACTGCTCAGTGAACGCCAGTTCAAAGTCAGTCATAGAAGTGGTGACCTGAGCATCACTCACTGGTACTAAATTTCCACACGAAGATGGCAACGAAAATCAGAATTTATTTCTTTCTTGTGTCCTCTTGGTTTTTCGTTTTGTGGTTTTTTTTTTTTGTTTGTTTGTTTTGTTTTTTTGAGCTTACTGTGGAGGCCAAGACTCAAACTCAGTATTCTCGTTTCTTAGCCTCCCAAGTGCGAGGGTTCCAGGCATGAGACACCACACCCCATTAAAAAATTTTAACATCTTAAAAGCTCCCACAGGAAGAATTCCGGAACTCTAATTTTGTATAGTGCTTATAAAATTTCCTTGGTCCTTATACTCTAAAAATATGTTTCTAAATTCATCTTGCCTATTTCAAGCTATACAATAACCCTATGAGATAAAGCTTTATGCTTCTGCATGAGCAGATTTGACGCAAGGATGCACAAAGCTATGTTTCCTCCAGCATCCCCCAACCCACACCCCCAGATCTCTACCGTCACTGATTCAACAAACTAAACTCTGTTTCCGTTTTTGTTTGTTTTTAGGTGGTACGTCAGCGTCAGCTCTTTCCAAATAGATCCCAACATGCTCACCCAGCCTTGGCTTGCTCCGGCCCTACCCTTTTATACCTCCATCCATCTCTCTCCTCTCTGGCAAAATGTGGCTCAGCAGCAGGTTCGGCCGACATCTCACCTGCCCGTGAAAGTTCTGGCCAACACAGAACAACGTCAGGCAATTCTTTCAGACTCACTCATGCAAAGCCGTACATCACTTATTAGGCCACCGGGCTCTTCCTGGGGTTCTCAGGCTGTGCTCTGAGATCACTTGATGATACGGTCACATCTTCCTGGGGAATCTCACTGCTTCCTGTGCTAATCAGGAAGTGGTGAGAAGATGGTGACTGAGACTGCGCATGTCACTTGTTTCAGAGCACAGAGTAGTTCCCAGGCCTGTTTGGTGTCAGTGTCTTGAGTCTTAGTGGGAGACAAGGTCTTAGTCCCAGGATTCCCTGGGGGCTCAGAGACAGTTCAAAAATGCCACTCAAAAACTGAGATGATAGATAGGTCAGAGCTGACCAATG